TAAAGTTAGGATAAAGGGTTGATGAGAAATCCCATTCGCTGCGTCTAACGAGACTTCACATTTAACGAATGAACGATGTGTGTTGACAAGGCAGCAAATGTTAAAGCTGGAAAACAACTGAGATAAACAAGTAACAAATAATTAGCGGAAACATCGGATCCTTAGCAAATCGACACTTTGGTCTGTTATCTCTCCTACATTTGACTTAGTACAACGAATTTACATGGATCATCACTAGTTTGGAGGTGGTGACCGTAATAGAGCCATAGTAACATTCAAAGAAGAACATACGATCAATGAAACAGCATTTAGGAGTCGTGCAAGAGCCCACTATCAAAACTATTGACATTAACTTATTGTAGGTGGCCCCAGGTTGGAAACAAGATTGACACGAAAAGGATTTTTAAAAACAAAAAAGTCACATGGAGTTCGAGTAAGCGGAGTAAAATAGGCATCACTGGGCACGGTGGAGGGTACTCTTAAAAACGGCAATGCAGACTGAATCGGGCATGTCTGGCTTACTTTACTGTTGTCAGTCAACCATACGTTCACTCCCAGGTTGGAAGGACAATAACATCCAGACTCAGACCTCAAGTCCTCCAAGGTCGGATTCGTCGTACGGTTGGATGACCACAGTACATTCTGATTAGAATAAGCATCAGTTTCCCCGACTTTTTCAGCAACACCTGATAACTAGGACAGCCTCTAGACGACTAGTTATGGGAGCTACCAACTTAGTGTCACTGCATTTAGCAGACTGAAAAGTACGTTTGGTGTGAGGATTAATATTTTTAGAAAGACAGTTACTCGATTTTAAAATTACCTAAGTCAGGAGCATACACCATTCACTCATATCCAAAATTGACGAGTTGTCATAAAAGTTACCCCAAATTACTCTTCTAGTGTAGAAATGGGCAAGTCTCTGCTTTGAAGATTTTGACGGACGAAACGCACCTTATTCGGGAATTGCTCGTTGACAGGAGAGAGGGTCGTGCCTGTTGACATCACAAGGTTAGCAGGGATTCAAACGAAGAGGAAGAGCGTCATGATAGCAACGTATTACCACGTGCAACAGCTAACTGAAAGAAAAAATATTACGGTGGCTTCCAAGATGATTTGTGATACGGCAACATGGTGAAACACAAATAGGATAACAGAAAGCAGGTGTTCAGCTAAAGCTGGATGCTATGCTAATATAACTGCTCGAAGAATTTGCCTGAAGTTATAAGAGACAGAGGAACCAAAGCACTCAGTTGTTGAGGGTCACACGAGGTTAAACTGAATGGTATTTTATCCAAAAGGGTTTTATCGTTTGCTGGCTGTTGTAATTTGGTGGGGGTAGATAAACTAACGCATAAGCCGAGAACCTTTGACTAATCGAGAAACAGCCCCTGATCGAAAAAAAACTATGCACACTGTGCCCATCACTACGAAA